CGAGTCATGGTGCTGAATGAAAATGCTCTGAATTAAGGATAACGATGGATAAGTCATGAGAATTATCTCGGGATAAGGCTTTCCTAAAACGGCTGAGAATTTCTCAAATTGTGATGAGTCCATGTTCACGGTCTTGCTGACATATATTCCCTTTCAAAAAACGAGAAGAGCGTCGGGTGCAGACCATACACCACAAGTGACGACGGCCTCCACAAAATGTAAATGTTTTCTGCCAATGAAATGATTAGCCTGCAAAAATCAGCTATCACTATGAACCACTGCTTACTAGATTTACTTGGACGCCGTCGTTACTTGTGTTATATGGTCTGCACTCGACGCCTCGTTTTTTGGAAGGGAGGGTATAGTTTCTAGTATGTCCTCAGGCGCTGCAGTTGTCTCATCACTGGCTTTGAACATGAGGATGTGCTTTCATTCGTACAATTTCTGCCCTCTTAACTATGCTGAGAACAACTGGTGATCATAGCCGTATGCTATCCTTCCCCCAAGCCGGACGATCAAAAGTTTCCTTTAAATTTATTTGTTTTGAACGTAGTTTCTTCATTTCAGTGCATTTTTACCTACATACATACATTAAATGTAGGCCCTTTATCAGGGCAATCCCAGTTGGGAAGACAGAGAAAATTTGAAGGAATTTTCGTCCCTCAACCCCTCGGGGGAGGTTAGCATACGACCCCAGATCTTCTAGTCCTTTTCCTCTTATCAGTCAAAAGCTGTATTCATGAGACGATGTTAGGGCGATGTCAGAGTTTGCAAATTCAGTGATTCGCTAGCGAATTGCTGGATCCGAGCGTTGCACCAGCGAATCGAGCTTGCACCAGCAGATCGAACTATGTGCCAGCGAACTGGCCACTTTCAAAGTGGCGGAACTTCCTTTGAATGTTGGCATGCGACACTTTCAAACAGTCGCTGGTAGATTGTTCGATCCACTGGTACACATCTTGATTCGCTGGTGCAACGCTCGTAGAAGCGATTCGATAGCGATTCGCTGGATTCGCAAACCTATTTTTCTTATTTTGTGCAGCATTTTTATTCGTTCAGTGTTTATGTTTCGTTTATTGCGATGGTAGACAGGTTTTTTTGGTTGCAGATGTCTGAAAAAATGGAAGAGCAGCAGGCGTCAGCGCCAACCGCTTCAGGATCAAAATCGGAAGAGTCGGTGGCACTTGCGCAATTGGCAACCAACAGGGTTTTTGCGGGGGGTCCACGGTACATCGGATTCAGCATTTGATGAGTAGACGAGGATTTGTGACGCAACAAACGAGTATATGCGCCTCAGCACCGGGTCTATAACACCGTCCAACGTGGAGCAGAAAGTAGTCGCGCACTCTACTTACAAAGAGGTATCTATACCGTTACTGTGTCGCTCAGTTTCACAATTTTGATACCTATCACTTATTATAACTCCAGGCACCTCCACCGGCGGAACATCAATAAGGTCAAAAAGCATTCTTTTTCACTGAACCTTGATCAAAGGGGTATTTTAGTGCGCTTATCGCGAATAGGAAAACAATTCCGGGAGAGGTTCTTTGATCGGCCCTACAGCTATTTCACCTATTGCGCAAAACAATTAGCGCTTAACGAATCGGATCCCCAACAGGTTGAGATGTATTAGTCGGATCCGGAGGGAGATAGAGGGCGCGTGGTTTAGCCAAGATCCGGCAAGATGAGATCTTCCAATTGGGAGAATCCCGCACGGTTCGTCGTTGATTCTATCCCAAGTACCACAGGAGGATCCTGCAGTTGGACTGATTCAGAGATCCGGCGCAATACCATTTGCGCGATTGCGCGATTTCAAGCCGACGATTTTGCGCATTTAGCGGCGAGGGGTCACTGGAATCGCAAATGCATCCATACTGCAAGTTTTCTCCAATCCCGCCGTCACTTCTGCTTGATGGTTATGGTTTAATGGAGACTGCTCATGATTCCACTTGTTTCATATCCAGTGTTTCAATTGTTCAAATGGGGCACTTGCAATTTTTGTGATTGGTTTGGTTTGATTCCTGAAAAAAATAGGACGACAATTTAAGAGCATTTCAATGAACTAATAGACATTGAACACTGGAAAAGGTCTTCAAGAAGCTCCCATGACACGGAGCAAACCGTGGTCGTGATTCGTCTTCCAATCTTTACTGCCAAGCAGAATTCGCAGCAAGGAATAAACAACACTCTCGCAGTATTCATCGGGCACTTCCAACTCCTGTGATCCATCGCAGGTTTCGCGAAAATCGCGAAAAGTCATCGCAGACTCCTGGCTAGCCTTGTAGCGCGCGATCGAGCGGCACTCTGACGCAAGCCTGAGCCATCGGGTTTTCATAGTCTCGAACACGCGGCGAAGCGCGTTTCATGGTTTTGGAGAGGTTGGATGTATCGACTCGAAAAAGCCGAAAATAACGAAAAATCTCCCAACCACCGTGCAGTGACGGGGAGCGTTCATTAGAAGGGAACTTGCTGCACCAGACTTAGGGCTGTAACTCTCCACAGGCCAAGTGTGCAAAGGAGCAAAATTCTATGAGGAATGAGCCGTATGCATTCTGCATGTCAATGGCGCTCAGGGTTGAGAAGTAGGATCCTTCTATTTTATAAAGCGCTAACTTTGTGTGTCGGTTTGTGTATGTCTGTATGTGTGTGTGTATGTATGTATGTATGTGTGTCCGTCCGCAAAATGAAGTGAGTGAGAAGGAAGCTCATGGGATAAACAAACCGCTAACAAATCGGGTAGCTTACAGGATTTGAGATATCAATGTTTTGTAGCAGGATAGTTGTGATAACACTCTTAGGGCTATATAAACACCTGCTTAGCACACTTCCGTTCATTCCACATGGTGCTGCAGTGGCAGCTGGAGGGCAGTGGAGAGAGGAAGGGGATGAGGAAGGGAAGCGAAAAATCTACCGTCATATCATGATTGTGTCCCTTCTACTGTATGAAACACCATTGTGTTGCATACGCGTCACTTCCAGGAGGTGTTGGTGTCACAGGAGGAAGGGACCATAGCGGAGGATAGAAAGCTTGCGCAGGAAAGGAAGGTCCCGGCGGTTGACGGACTAACTGAGTCTATATGATGTGTGATGTTGATATTCATTACTGACACACTAAATCATCCCATAAGCAAAGTTTCCACGAAAAATAACATATCGAGCTTTGGAGTCGCATTGGTTGGATAGTGTCCAGTTGTTCCATGCCAAGCTCTTTATTTTCTCGATATTTTTTTGTAAATAATATCTGAGATAGCGTTTCACGTATAAAGGCAATCGCATCTCATTTTAATGCTTTTCACGCACCAAAGATGTGGAGACATGCAAAGGTGGCGATTGTCGGGAATTAAAAAACATACTGCCAATCATTTTTTGTGCTGAAATTTATTTGGAACGTAGTAAGAAATTTGCACAGTCTCTAACGTCCCCATCCTTCTCTCGTATTCGTTGCGTCTTTTTGCAGGGACCTGCAAAAATACCCGAATATTTCAGGGTGTACCATTATATCCACAGACGTAACTTATGTCCTTTACTCTTTCTCGATAATATATTTGTACAATCTCTCAGTAGTCGCCAGGCAAACATGGAAATCGGCATATTTGTTATCAAACTAGCTAGTTGATTGAATATCATGGGTTAACACGAAAGAACTTCTTTTGAAAATCTGCACATTCATTGCAGTTCACCTTAATTTATGAGTATAGGAGCGCAAAATTATTCTAGGTGAGGATTTCCGCAGTGGCGCTTCTCAAAATGGTTATCCATTCAAGACGAGGAGGGAATTTAGAAGTGAGTGTTTCTGTGTGCTTTCATGCCTCCGTTAAAAATGTTGTGTAAAATGAGCATATCCAAGGTTATGGGACTCATGCAAGGTCGAGTAGACGGAAATGCGTTCATCATCATGGATACGTTTGCTTTACCCGTGGAGGGGACAGAAACAAGGTATGCTGCTCATTTGAAGAAATGCTTACGTACTTGTACTTCCTTGTACTTTGCACTGTACTACGTACTTTGCTTTTTCTTTTTAAATATTTCTGACGTAATTAAATTCGTTCCTTATTACTACAGGGTCAATGCCCAAGCACAAGCATACGAGTATATGTCGGTTTACACTGATCTTTGTGAGGTTGAAGGCAAGAAAGAAAAGGTTTGTGGCTTGGACAATATTTTGTGTTTCTGAGCAGTTTATTCCTTCTCATCATTACGGAAAAGGATCACTAGGCAGTTTCAGTACTCTTTTCTTTATCTCGGTTGAAAGCCTTCGTGTGATTTTTGAGCATTTCTTCTATTTCTACATGTTATTCTCTATTTTTAGGTTGTTGGTTGGTACCACTCACATCCTGGCTATGGATGTTGGTTGTCAGGAATTGATGTTGCAACTCAGAGTCTAAATCAGCAGTTCCAAGAGCCGTGGATTGCTATTGTCGTGGATCCATTACGAACCATGAGTGCTGGCAAGGTACTTCGAACTCACTCAAATTCATCAAAGACGATACATTGCGGCCTAGGTTGACATAGGAGCATTTCGAACTTACCCTCAAGGATACCAACCACCTGTGGAGGAAGGTCCGTCCGAGTATCAGTCTATACCGCTTAGCAAAATAGAAGATTTTGGTGTCCATTGCAAGCAGTATTATTCACTGGATGTTACGTTTTTCAAATCCGAATTAGGTGAGTAGCTTTTATTGCATTCTCAAGTGGAAGATTACCAGGTCTATTGTATGCTATCACAGATTCCCACATTCTTTCTGCTCTTTGGAATACATATTGGCTAAACACGTTGAGTAGCTCCCCTCTACTGACAAATGCTGGATATATCAATAACCAAATTGGGGATTTGAGCATGAAGTTAAGACAGGTAGCTTTTTTTTACTCGATCTGTATTGCCGTGCATGATTTCACAACCAGAAGTGATCGTCAAGATTACGCAGTCTCTCATTTAAATTTGAGTGTTCAGTAATGCATAAAAAATTATTGCGAAGAATTTTGGAAAATCCCTGACGTTTTCTCTGAAAATGACAACATTTTGGAGCCCAGCACATTTTTGGGCCCTGACCTTAAGTTGGTGGTCAGTTCGATTATGTCTCACTAGCATCGCCTCCATACACTGAATCGCCTTCTCTAAGTGGAAATTGGTGGTCATGTCTGGAGCCAAGCGTGGTTGTCTTTGATTTACAACTATAACTATAGTTGCTTGACCTTTGAGCCTATTGACCCCATTGTGCTCTGTGTGGTTTGTCTGTTCCCACACGGCCTCACAGAGATTTATCTGATTGATTACTCTAGACTTTCCTAAAGTTCTTTAGATCGCAGTATAACTTCTTCGCTAAGCGCATCATATATTTTCGATAAAACACCACTCGCCAGTAATGGATAGGATCTCCGTGGTCGTCCAATTCTTGTTCATTATATACATGTAGTTGCGACACAAAATGTGAGAATAAAAAAATATCAGTACGATTGGCAACTAATCCAAATCGCCCAACTGCTGTGACTGAAATATAATGTTACCTAACTTCACGAACTGTTACATGTAGTCAAGGCACAAGTAAGCCGGGATAGTTCATTGGTCCTGGCTGAGGACTAGAAGCCTAGCTTAGAAGGCTTTATTTTTCGTTTCCTTAGCTCTTCATCTTGAAGCCGGCTGTAGTAATTTGTTGGTTGAGTCAACCCGGTGCAGGGGGATTTGCTAGACAGGGTACGCTTATAGGAACGACTCTTATTCTTCCTCATCTCATATTTTGTCCACAAGTTTTAACATTCAAATGAATAAGCTCCCTTTGTTGATTATCTCCTCATCGTCATAGTAGCAAACCGTTCCTAGGACCTTTCTGTAGAAAGGGCTTCAAAATGTGTGTGTGAACCCTTTGAATTTGGAATATGTCTTTTTCTGGAGGAATCCTAAGTTTATCATTCGTTTTTTATTGAGGCCGTAACTAAACGTATTCCCCATGTATGCACAGGATTACCATTTTGGTAGCTTTTGTCTCCCTGCTCATGCTGTGCTGTAATTCAAAAGTTCGTCACATGCAGTGTTCCCAGCACTCTTTCGGGAGCTTCTGAAATATTATGCTTTAACTTTTGCAATCTCGCAGTATTATTGAACATTTGAAAGTTCATTCTTTAGAAATAGCTTAATTACAACTTCACAGGTAGAAAAGAAGTGGGCGCGTTGCGAGCGAGCTAACGACGTAATTGAGCAATTGGACAAGGTAAGCTCAATTTCAGGCTGACTCCTATTTTTGCATATATTATATAATCGCTTGACCTCAAAGTTAAGGAAGTTTCCACATTTTAGGCTGTGAAAGACGCACATACAGTGTGTTGTGAGTTGTCATGTGGTGTGCTGATGCAGCACATCAAGCGTGTAATGTTCAACCGTGGCGAAAGTTTCGAGGAGAGTGCTGATCAACGAGTTGACGAAGAGCCTGTTATCGACTTCATTTCCGCCGAAGACGTTGCTCCTCCGGCATCTATAGATGATGCGGAGTTGCCGGAAGAAGTACTTCTAGTAGAAACGGTGAATTAAATTCTGTGGTGGTGCTTTGCTGGAAATTTACGCTTCCGTTCTATGCTCTGCTGTTTTGAAGGATGTCTAATGTGAATAATTAAAGACAATGTGCAACCTGTGTTTATTGTTTTTGTGAAGATCTACGTGTATGTTCTTAGAATTTTTTTTCTGTTTTTCTGTACCTGCTACTTCATATGCATATGTATAGAAACTTGTATTACGATTTGGTTTATTTCAAAAAGAATTGTTTTAGCCGTTGGAATATTTTATGAGATCACTGCGGATAGGGTCATTTTCTTGCTTATTGCGTCGGATAATTCAGCATCCCTGACACGATGGAATTCATTTGTGCGCATTTGTTTGTCAGTGGAATTGAAGCTGCTGCTGCAACGCTACACTTATTAGAACCAGGAAATTAATACCAGTGGCAGTGGCACCTTATCAAAAGCTTGATAAGGCGCCGAAACCACTTCCGGATTGCAAAAACAAAGCCGTATCGATGTGAAAGGGATTGCATTGACAGCATACTTGATGTGATACCATTATCGTTATCGTCCCGTTTTCATTGGAGAGCACTCTTGTCAAGCAGGCTCATCGTACCATATCTTCCATGGCTTGCACTCGTCCAACAACTATCTCACACCGTATCGTTTGATAACAAGAGGATTAAATCCAGGTGGAAGCCAGCGTAATCGCTTCCTTTAAGTACACTGTTTCATGCAGCCAGAAATCCACGTGGCACACGTGGCTAAATTCTCGATGAAAAGGTGACATCACGTGTGCTCAAGATGTTCTTGAATCGATGCCACGTCAATGCCACGTCAATTTCTGCAATTGCACAATTTCTGGTCATTTGAAGGCGAGGGTATTTGAATTGAAGAGTACTCTCAAGCTGGTTCAAATTGGTGTGGGACGGTGCAACAACAAAGAACATGCCCCTTCTTTCTTCATTGAACTCTGCAGATGACATTCTTCAGCGATTCGAATAGATGTAGATAATCGTTTACTTTGTGCAAAAAGATAAGAGCCCTTCGAGCGACGATCCGCATGTGCATATAATGAGGGGATCACCTGTGAAAGCAATGGCTTTCAACCTCACACCGAAATGGCGTGTCTGGAAGACATCTCACTAACGTCGAGCAGGGTCAAGCGTGCGATTGAGGCATCTCGAACTCGTACAGGAAGGCGAGGGGGGGGTCGTATTGGTCCGCTGGATGGAAGAGATCGGACCGGAATCGATGCAGTAGGATCATCGCTGTCGGAGAACAAATATAAAGGATCGAATCAATGCCATTGGAAAGCCAGAGGACCTCCAATAACAATTTTATACCGCCCACATAAAATTTTCCGTATCTCAGGAATGTGTCCCGCCTTAAGTGAATTTCTTAGTTACTTCAATGGTTTATCACGACAAAAGTTAAATGCGAAAGACAAGACGGACACAAAGTTAAAGACAAATTGAAATCCGAAATTCGCACGTTTTCCAAGGGATATTTTATCTTTCAAGTGAGTCCTCGAATCCGAAGGGATGTGAAGCACACGGCGCATCCCAGAGTGGGCCAGTTGGTTGCGCGCGCTTCAACTACGGCTCTCTGGAGAAAGAATCTCAATTCAGGAAAAATCAAGAGGATTCTGAAAGGGTTCATGTGAAATTACAGAGGAGAGTACACGATTCAACAAGAAACGCAGTCTCAGCGTCAAATTCATAAGCATGTAATCGTAAAAGAGAGACAAGCTCAACAATTTTGGACTTTTCGGAAAGAGAAAAAGCACGAGGATTCCGAAACTGCTCCTACTTTTGTATACAACCCCCCTGAAGGAGCTATAGCCGTTGAAATTAGTGCCAATGCAGCGAAAAAGTACCTTTCGGCGGTACTCGGGCAAAAATCCTCGACGTGGCCATTTTTTAAATAAAGGACGTATTTAGCAGTTCTACCGCCGTTAAATAGAGCAAATCTTCTAGTTTATGATGACATATTAACTTTTCCAGGATTGGATGAGTTTGAACGGAGTTATGGCTTTAGGAAACCTGAAAAACTCGCACTCATCACAAATTTTCCTCGTTAATTTTGCAAAAATCCTCAACGTGGCCATTTTTTGAATACTGGACGTATAGAGCTGCTTTAGCAACGTTTGGTAGAGAAAATCTTCTAGTTTTGTCTGCCATATTAACTTTTCGAATTTGACGAAAATGAAGCAAGTTGTTGCTTCGGAAAGTGTAAAAACTCGTGCTCATCTCGAATTTTCCTCGTTAATTGATCTAAATTTGTTATTTCTTATAACTTTTTGTAATTTCAATACGCAGGGCCGGGGGGGGCTGGGGGGGGGTGATTAGAAAAAGCTCTTCACAAAACTCCCAAATCAGCTTTCAGATTGAAAATTCGTTAACTTTGAAGAAAGTTATAATCATTTGAATATTTGTTCAAATTTCAATAGTAAATAAGCTGCTCCACGGTCAACGCCAAAGTCCAGTCAACACACAGCTGGGAAGGTATTCAATCCTTCCCCCAGGGGTTGGGGGACGGAAATCCCTTTAAATTTATTTGTTTTAACGATGTAGTTTCTTCATTTTCAATGCATGTTTACTGTGACATACATACATACATTAAACCTAGGCCCTTTATCAGGACAATCCCAGTTGGGAAGACAGAGAAAATTTAAAGGGATTTTCGTCCCCAACCCCTGGGGGAAGGATTGAATACCGCCCCTGGCTCACGCGTTAGAAGGCTTCTTCCAAGCGAAAGGGGGACGTGTAAATTGAGAACCTACACTCTGTGTAGTACTGAAATTTGGTAAGTCTTGCGAAGGAAATAAATAAAGAAGAGGTGTTGTCATAGTATGCCATTTTTAGTGACTAGTTTGTCGTTTTTTGCTCCTTTTCTCGTTTGCTCGTTGTGGGACTCATCAATAATGATAATTCTTTAACTTTTTCACTTTGTACTTTTTGAGCAGGGTTTCTTTTTATGAACAGATTTGGGGGAGAATTCATAGTTCGGCTTTTAAAGAGGGTGTTGTCAATGGAATTCGGACCTCGGGGGGGGGTCCGTACTATCCCAAATTTCCCTCGACGCGTCGCAGATGACCCTGCTCGAGGGATGAAAGCATGGTGGGGCCATCAACGGTGTAACCAACCAGGGAGTTGAGCCCCCTGAACGGCGCGCCACTTACCATACCTCCTTCGCGTCTCCTTTCCTATACTTCAGAAAACAAGAATCCTTCCTATCGGGTGAAAAAGTGATCTCGAAGATGTAATTACAAAACCTTCATTCAAAGTTTATATCTTTATTCAGCAGAGCTCTCATGAGACGCGGGTCAAAAAAAAACTTCGAAAAACTCAAATTGATTTCTTTCTTTCTAAATAAAAAGTTTTAAACTGTTGGCCCATGTTCAGTTCTTCAAAGAATTGTAAAGTTGTTCCGTTTATTGTGCACACGCGAGTTCTCAACATTCAAGCGTTCATAAATTCCTTCATAAGCAATTTTTTGCAGATCTCTCAGGCTAATTTAACGCTTCCGCAAAAGCACTGAAATTTTTTTTACAAAACATCATTCCCTTAAAAGAACAGTCCTGTTGTTCCTTTTTCGATTTTTTTTGATCTGGTTTTATAGAACGCGCGCTTTTTCATTATTCAATCCTTTGCAACTTCCTACATAATTGACTTTTTGCAGACTTCTAAGGCTACGTAGAAACATGAAAATTAGGGCTTTTGGAAATATACTAAAGCCTCTTTGAGACTACCACTTCAAAAATAGTCCCGTTGTTTTGTTTTTTCCTCCATGTGAAGACATGAAGGAACAAAAGAAAAGAAAGATAGGGAGTCTAGGCCTTTCTCCTAGAAGGCGATTTTCAACTCTTCAAAACACCATTTTCTTCTTCTTCTTCTTCTTCTCCCTAGCGTTAGTCCCGCGCAGTCGCAGGGTCCGCTGTCTTTGTCAGTCGTCGCCACTTCGCTCTGTCCAGGGCATCTTCTGCTGTGGCCGTGATTTCACTTAGGTCCTTCTTGATTACGTCCTTCCACCTCTTCTTTGGGCTCCTCGCGGTCGCTTGCCTTGCACTTCGAAGTCCATCGCATTCTTATCGGGTGGCCTTGTGGTCTTCTCAGCACATGCCCATACCATCGCAGTCGTTGCTCCCTCACCTTCAGCTGGACAGGGGCAGTCTGCATGACCGCTCTGACATCCTCGTTTCTGACCCTGTCCAGTCGCGTCCAGCCGCAGGCCCATCTCAGCATCCTCATTTCAGCGGAGTGAAGCTGCCTTTCGTGATTCTTGTTCAGGGGCCAGCACTCGCTGCCGTAGAGCATCGCAGGCCTTACCACTGTCCGGTACACCTTCCCTTTGAGCGTTCTGGAGCACCTTCGATCGCAGAGGATTCCAGTGGACTCCCTCCATTTCATCCATGCAGCGTTGACCCGAGCCTTCACCGCCTGATCCACACTACCGTCGGCTGCCAGATCGCTCCCAAGGTATCGGAAGTCCTCCACTCTTTCGATGGTCTCACCATGGCCGTCCACGATCGGCTCTGCACCCTCTTCGGAGCTCAGGAACTTGGTCTTCTTGACATTCAGCCGGAGCCCACCTTCTGCCAGGACTTTCTGCCATTTCTGCACCTTGGCTTGAAGTTCCTCTCTGCCGCTATCAGGGCGATGTCGTCAGCGTAGAGGATGGTCTTCAGTGGTCCCTCCATGAGCCCCTTCACCAGGACATCTAGTGTTAGGAGGAAGAGGAACGGGCTCAGAGCTGACCCTTGGTGCACCCCAACCGTGATGTCCACCTCCTTCGTTAGGCCGTGTGGGGTGCGTATAGCTGCCTTAGCCCCATCGTACATGTCCTTCACCAGAGAGACCAGGTGTTCTGGCACGTTCCGTTCCTCTAAGCGATCTCCATAGTACCGCTCGCTAGCCGGTCGAAGCCGTCGAACGCCTTTTCCAGGTCGAGGATGGCTAGGTAGCAGACCTGCGCTTTTCGCGATGCTTCTCCATCATTTGCCTAGCGATGAAGATGGCCCATTAGTTTCTT